TTCACTTTCATCAAGAGGCTCTTTTGTTCTTCTTCACTTTTTGCCATAAGGGTGGTGTCATCTGCATATCTGAAGTTATTGATATTTCTCCTGGCAATTTTGATTCCAGTCTGTGCTTCATCCAGCCTGGCATTTCTCATGATGTACTTTGCATATACGTTAAATAAGCAGGGTGACAACACATAGCCTTGACATACTCCTTTCCCCATTTGGAACCAGTCTGTTGTTCCCTATCCAGTTCTAACAATTGCTTCCTGACCTGCATATAGGTTTCTCAAGAGGCAGATAAGGTGGTCTGGTATTCCCATCTCTTTAAGAATTTTCCACAGTTCGTTGTGATCTACACAGTCAAAGGCTTTGGCATGGCCAATAAAGCAGAAGACTGTGTTTTTCTGAAACTCTCTTGCTTTTTCTATGATCCAACACACGTTGACAATTTGATCTCTGGTTCCTCTGCCTTTTCTAAATCCAACTTGAGTATCTGGATGTTCACAGTTCTTGTACTGTTGAAGCCTGGCTTGGAGAATTTTGCACATTACTTTGCTAGCGTGTGAGATGAGTGCAATTGTGCTGTAGTTTGAACATTCTTGTCATTGCCTTTCTTTTGCATTGGAATGAAAAGTGACCTTTTCCAGTCCTGTGGCCACTGCTGAGTTTTCCAAATTTGCTGGCATATTGAGTGCAGCACTTTCACAGCGTTATATTTTAGGATTTGAAATAGATCAACTGGAATTCTATCACTTCCACTAGCTTTGTTCATAGTGATGCTTCCTAAGGCCCACTTGACTTTGCATTCCAGGATGTCTGGCTCTAGGTGAGTGATCACACCATTGTCTTCATCTGGGTCATAAAGATCTTTTTGGTATAGTTCTGTGTATTCTTGCCACCTCTTCCTAATATCTTCTGCTGCTGTTACATTCATACCATTTCTGCCCTTTACTGAGCTCATCTTTGCATGAAATGTTCTCTTGGTATGTCTAATTTTCTTGAGGAGTTCTCTAGTCTTTCCCTTTCTATTATTTTCCTCTATTTGTTTGCATTGATCACTGAGGAAAGCTTTCTTGTCTCTCCTTGCTATTCTTTGGAACTCTGCATTCAAATGGGTTTATCTTTCTTTTTCTCCTTTGCCTTTAGCTTCTCTTCTTTTCTCAACTCTGTGTAAGGCCTCCTCAGACAACCATTTTGCTTTTTTGCATTTCTTTTTCTTGGGGATGGTCTTGATCACTGCTTCCTGTACAATGTCACAAACCTCCATACATCGTTCTTCAGGCACTCTGTCTATCAGATCTAATTCCTTGAATCTCATCCCCTCCTTGGGATCTCATCCCCTCCTAGGAAACTTAAGAACTGTTAGTCTTCCAAATTCTATTGTTGCTCTATTTCGTGTTTCTTCTATTATTTCTTAATTTACTAATTCTATTACCTATTTTTTTTCCTATAATATGCTAGATGAGGATTTCAATCAATTAACCTTTGAGAGTCTTTCCTTATTCTCCAATGTATTTAAATCGCAACTTGAAGCTAAACTATTAGACATATTTTACATTATTATGATTGTCTTAGTTCATTTTAGGCTGCTTTAATATAATACCATAGACGTGGTGGCCTAAACAACAAACATTTATTTCTCATAGTTCTGGAAGCTAGAAGTCTAAAGTCAGGACACCAGCAGGTCAAATCCTGGAGAGGTCCCTCTGCTGGGTTACAGATTGCTGATGTTTTTCTGTGATCTCACATGGCAAGAGGGGTAAGGGACCCCTATGGAGCCTCCTTTATAAGTGCTCTAATTTCATTCATGAGAGCTTCATTCTCATGAGCTTATCACCTCCTATTGGTCCACCTTCTAATTCCATCACACTGAGGGCTATCGTTTCAATATATGACTGTAGGGGAGGACCTAAATATTCAGTTCATAACAATGATTATATGCACATTTATACTATTAATCCAAATAGTATACAATGATCCTGCTTTCTTTTTTGTTTTGTTTTGCTCTGTTTTTCTGCTATTAATTTTACTTTGTAGTTTACATGTAGAAGATTGCAATATATCTATCTTTAATTTTTTTCAAAATGTCCAATCAGAATTTTAAAGCCATTAGCATTTCTCCTCACTTTTTCAAATATATGATACAATGTTACAGTTGTTTTATTTTCTTTGGATCGCCCTCCTGAAATGCTCCATTCTTCTGTTATAAGTCCCTATGCCTCTTAAACAGCTGCCAACCTGAAACTTTTTCTTTTTCTCTTGGTATTTTATTTTTTTATTGCAATATAACTTACATGTGTAGTCTAAGATATATAGATGAATAGATTTTATGTAAGTGTACTTTAACAACCAGTCAGATCAAGATATAGAACATTTTCAGAACCCCAGCATGCTCCCTCTTATCTGCTTCCATTCATTAATCCTACCTCAAATGTTTTGATCTGTATCATGGTGGATTTTTTTTTTTCTGTTTTTTAACCTCATATAAATACTGTCATTCAGTATATACTTGTTTTTTCTTTCACTCAACATTACATCTTTGGATTCATCCATTCTCATTAGCAGTGATTCATTTTTATTGCTGTATAATATTCTATAGTATGAAGATACTATAAAATATTTTTGTAAGAGCTGTCTTATAATTTATTATAATTTGACCTTGAAACTGCTCTGTAAAAAATCTATCAACCTGATAGTTTTCTCCTCCTGGATGACTTGCTTTTCTTTCCTGGATATATGAAGAGGTTTTATAATAATCATTAAAGCAAGAGAAATTTAATCAAGATATGTTTTTCTCTAACAATTTTTCTATGAAACTGGTTTCTTTTTCTTCCCTATTTTAAAGATTTAAAAATTATATTTAAATTTTTTAATATGTCCTTTGTTCTCTTCTATTTCTGGTTTTTGGAGTATTATTATATTCAATGTTGTCCTTTTTTGGCTCTTATCCATATATATCAGATTTTTCATCAATTCTTTAATTTTGTTCTCTTTTTGTGTTTACTATGAAAATACAAAGCTTTACTTTGAGGCCAGAGATAAAATATTATCTGTGTCTAATCTAGTCAGTGCTTTGTCTGATTTATTATCTGAGCAATGGTATTGCTTTGGCTTTTGATCTTTTTATCTATTTATTATACCCTTTCAAATGATCCTTTTAAAAATATCAAATCAACTTGTTTTTGACCTTAGGTTTTATTTAATTAATTTTTTAATACTGTGAGGAACTTTTCTTGTGTTTCCTTCCCTGCTTATCATTTCTACTAGTTTTTTCATGTTGTGCTGCTTTCATTATTATGATGATCATATTATTATTGTTCATATTGTTGCAGTCATCTCTTTCAATAACTATGAGTTTGTTTTGCTAATCCCATCATCTTACTCATGATTCTGTTAGCTCAGTTTAGACTTTCTGTTTGCTTAATATTGTCTGGGTAATTTATCCTTAAGTTCTCTTCCCTACTGGCTACTTTTTATTTTTCCATGCAAGCTATAGTTTGAGAGAGAATGTTTATATTCCAGTCAGTTGTTATGGCATAAGAGAAAAGAGGCGAAGGAAGATCTGTCGGTGTGACTCTCACATTGGAGGTAGTGGATTATAGTCTCTAATGAGACCTTTTCTGCAGGACCCCTCCCAGTGCCCAGGGATGCTCTTGATTTCCTGTGCAATTTGACTGGCTTCACCACCTCACCTCGAGTCCTGACTTCTTCAGGATTCAGCCTTTCTTGCTTCTGTGGGCGTCCCTGACCAGTTTCCAATTAGGGAAGAGATTCATGAACACCCTGCCAGTTTGGGGGTTTATAAGTTTTTCCATCAGTTCTGGTTTTAGGGTGGGAGATAGATTTAGGACTAGTCCTGCCTCACTAGAACCTCCTATTTATTTCATCAACATTAACTTTTTGGTTTCTGACATCATACCCCCTTTGTTTTTTTATTATTGAATTTTTTTCTTTAAAAATTTTTTATTTTATTAGTTTTCTGGGCATGGAAATTCTACAATCTGTCTTGATGTACCAATTTTTACCTAGAAGAAGTATTTTCAAGTCCTTTAACATATATTCTCTTATTTCTTCTCAGAATAATCTGATTCATGAAGTAGGGCTTATTTAAAAAAAAAAAAAAAACACCTTCATTTAGTTGGTAAAGAAACAATGACTGAAAGGAATTAAGTAGAATTAAATCTAGTTAAAATTACATGGTTACTGGTAGAGCCATGCTTGGTAGCCCAGCATCCCTAATCCCATAGAATAGTCTTTCCATTCTATCTCAATTCAGTTCAGTCGCTCAGTCATGTCCAACTCTGCTATTCCATGAACCACAGCTCGCCAGGCCTCCCTGTCCATCACCAACTCTCGGAGTTCACCCAAACCCATGTCCATTGAGTCAGTGATTCCATCCAACCATCTCATCCTCTGTCGTCCCCTTCTTCTCCTGCCCTGAGTCTTTCCCAGCACCAAGGTCTTTTCCAATGAGTCAGCTCTTCGCATTCTATCTCAAGACCTCTCATTTACTTCAGTTGAGCTTCCTGTGTTCACACTTGTGCAGTGGGTACAGTGTACACTTGCACAAAGCATGGACTCTGTGTTGCTTCTGAAGAATTATTTTAATTCCATAGGGTTATTTTGGGGATACTACGAATTATATTATTGGTCTCTGGTATAGACAAATTAAGGGCTTCCCAGGTGGCACTAGTGGTAAAGAACCTGCCTGACGGTGCAGGAAATTAAGAGATGCAGATTTAAACCCAGGGTTGGGAAGATTCCCTGGAGGAGGGCATGGCAACCCACGCTAGTATTCTTACCTGGAGAATCCCATGGACAGAGAAGCCTGGTGGGCTGTGGTTCTTAGGGTCTCAAAGAGTTGAACATGACTGAAGCGGCTTTGCATGCACACACATAAGCAAACTAACATATTCCATACGAAATACGTTTAATTCTTCTAGAACTGATATTATAATCTGCTTTTAGCCTGTCAATATAAGAAAATTAATACATTATTTTCTCTTTTCCAGAAAATGCAAAAGACATCATCATGATATATGAAGGAGATGCTGAGGAATGGGCTCTGTACTTGAGCGAAGTTTTCTCACATGTTGTGAAAACGGAAGCAACCCTTTTATATTGCTTGGAGAATTGCTCTCTTCGGGATTTGGAATTGCTGAATTTAAACTCCTACAAGTGCAAACTTTTGATATTATCAAATAGCCTGCTTGAAAACCTATCTCCAAAGAAAGGTCAATTTCTGAAAAACATACTTCATTCACCAGAAAGTGTGGTCACTCTGCTGTGTGGGATGAAGAGTTCAGATCAACTCTACAAATTATTAAATATCTCTAAAAGCAGATGGGAGATCTCAACTGAGCAGGAGCCTGAAGACTACATCTCTGTAATTGAGAGTATCATATTCGGAGGTAGCGTTGCCAAATCTTATTTGTTTGTTTTTATTTGTTTATTTTTTTAATTAAAACATTGAAAGTTTTTTTTGAACCAATGACTATTTGACAGTGGAACTAAAGAAAAGAAAAAGGAAATCCAACTTCATTTAACAGTGTATTATACTTTCCTCAAAATTCATGAAGATTCTTAGTTTTAGCTTTATTCCAGACAAGGTTTATCAGTTGTTCAAAAAATGGTTTATAAACACATACAGCTTGCAGCTTGCAGGAGATCATACTTTGTAGAACAATATGCTAGGTTATATGTCAGTTGGGTTCTGGAAACTGCTTTCTTAGTTAACTAGTGAGGTTTGAGTAGTCAGTGGCAGTCGAAGGTTTGAAGGTCTGGGTTAGAATTGCAGAATTTTCATTGTGCTGATAATTGTATGATAGCATTTCTATGGAAGAAATATTGTTATCTTTGTTATCATTGAAGCATTGAATTAATGGGGCAGAACATAAGGACCTGTTTATTAATTAATTACATTTTAATATGATAGTTAAAACTCGGATGCTTCCTAGTGTTAAAGCTTCTCCCTGGCCCAGGGCTTCAGCCTTGGTGTGGGAAGGGTACTGTGCTCAGCTGTCCCATGGTTTTCTTACCCTGCCTATGCCTTTAACTTCCAGTGTTCCAGTTACAGTTTTCTCTCTTCCAGAGAAGTTCTAGTGTTCTTATTTTCTAAGGCCATATCAGATATTAAGTGCTGGCTTTTCTTGGAGCATATTTCTAGGCTCTCTGGAGCTCCCCTCATTCCCTGGGGACATCTCTCGGTGGTCCATCCCATATACATTCTTAATATTAATTTATCCAGCGTCCTCATATGTCTCTTTTGATCAAAAACCCTAAGCTATCTCCTTCTGGCCCTTTCTCCCACTTGGCCCACATATGTGTATAAACTCATTCATTTTTCTTTTCCCCTAACAAACCCTGGGCACACATGCCATTCCCCATGAAGTTATCATCATCCTGCTCTCAGAGCGGCACTGCACCGCAGCCTCTTGCCTTTAGTCATTTCCAAACATGGGTCGAGCACAATTCTTGGTGCTCTTTAAAGTCAGAGGACACCTATCCCAAGAGCTTTGCTGAAACCCCTCGTCCCTGTGCGGGAGGATGGTAATAACGCATGGAGGATGGTGGGACTCCCAGAACATCAAAAACTCTTTTTTAAAAAAAATCTCCTCCCTGTTTTCCAGCAGGAAAGAAGCTGGAAAATAGGGATTCCACACTTTTTAAGCCTTGTTTTTGGCAGCACACTCCAGTATTCTTGCCTGGAAAATCCCATGGACAAAGGAGCCTGCATGGGCTACAAGCTGTGGGGTCAGACACGACTGAGCGACTAAGCAACAGCAAAGCCTCGTTTTGGTTATCTGTTGTTGCATAACAAGTTGTCTTCAGATTTAGCGACTTCAGACGTGATGCTGTCATAGTTTCTGTGGCTGAGGAATCTAGGAGCCCCTAGCTGGGAGGCTCTGGATCAGGAGCTGTCCAGAGGTTGCAGTAGAGCTGCCTTGGAGCTGTAAGTCACCTGAAGCCTCCGGTGTTCACTCGGGGAGGATTTGCTTCCAACAGGGGCTCACTTTGTTGGCAAGTTTGTTATTGTTTTTTAACCAACTCTTAGATGGAAATCACCTCTAGTAGATTCCTGAGCAAAGGCCCTTGGAAGAAATGCGCCTGAAATCTTGCACCTTCCAAAGCATTTGTCTCTTGCCTTATACATGAAGTACAGTTTGACTGAGAACCGTGTCGCTCTTCTTTCTTCTAGCATTGGAGAATTTAGGGAATTCTTACTTGCCTGGCTGACTAAAGGTTTCTTTCTTTGTATGTGAAGTCTAGTGACTTTACTAGAATGTTATCCTTCTGCTTGGTGTTCTGGACTGTTTTGCCCAGGGAAATGGTTAGTTTTTGTTTTAGCTTTCCTTTTTCTTTTTTTGGGGGGGAGGGAGGGCTCTTTTCCACAAGACATAGATTCAGTATTCTTTTTATTTCAGGCATAATTTCTTGGCTTCTGTCTTTAAATGTTTGCTCTATCTTATTATTATGATTTTCTTTTACAGAGATTCCTTTCATATGTGTGTTTGATTTGTCTTAATATACTCTACAGTTTCTAATTATTTTTGATTCTTTATTAATATCAGTTTATTAATACTTAGCTTGTATTCATCACATCAGTCCTTGCTACATTCTTATATTTTCTGTACTCTCTCTTCCCCTGTATTATTTCAAATTTCTTCTTCATTTTTACATTGCTTTACTTCTTTCATTTTAACATTTGGTTGAACACTGGAAGTTTACAATGAATTTCTTGTTCTTATCTTCTCCTTAACACCCTGTATTTCTCCATTGTATAATTGTTTCAAAAGAGTGATCATAATTTATTACATTTTAAAAATTTGTGGAAAAATGCTTGGTCACAATTTTCTACTTTTATGGCAATGTGATTTTAGTATGTGATTCTTTATGTGCAGTTGGTTTGCTCCTTCTCTCATAGTTACCTTCATATGGATCCTGGGCTGGTCCAGTTTTTCTTTTGTATCACTGAACAAAGTGAGTTTTTCTTGGTCTCGCCAACGAAGATAAAGAATGTGGGTTTTGTTGTTTGTTCCTCCCCACCCCCACCATGAAAGACTTTTCTTTGTTTTCACAGACATAGGCTGCTTTCTACAGCTTTGTCTTTTCTGTATAGTTTTTCATTTAGCCTCACTTTTTCTGCTTTTTGGAACCAAACCACTTCCACAGATGCTTCTACCTGAAACTGTTGCCTCATGTCTACAATATAGAAAAGCATGACCTCTAGCCTTAGAGAAAGCTATGTTTGTTAGCCCTTTTTGAAATCTGATTTTGGAACCATTCTGTTGACCTGGAGGTCTAAGACATCGCTGTTTGCTATTTTCAATGAATAGGACATTTGTATAATTGTTTCTCATTGTTTATTTTTTGGGATGATTTGCAGGAATAAAAAGGGGGAAATGTTGACCCTACACTATGCTTTTCAAACTGGCAGTCCTCTAATATCTAATAATCTGTTACTTTTTATTTTTGTTTAGTATTCCGCAAGTACCTTTTGTATTTTTAGTTGAAAAGAAAAAATATTGCAATTGGAAATTATAAAACATTTATTACAGTAAAATACACATGAGAACATAAGATGCAAGTAATTTTATGCCAGTTGTCTCCTCCGATACAGAGGAACACTAAAAATCTGTGGCAAAATTTTGAGTGGTTTTCCACGCCCATTATTTTTACTTCCTTGAAGAATTCAAACTTTATTGGCCACTTATATTATGATATCACTATTGTGTAAAAATGTTGGGGCATACCTTATTGTTTCCGTTGTTTTGCTTTATGATGAGTACCATTGAGTGGCTATGTCAACTGTGTTTTCAAATTGTATTCCCATTGATATTTGATAGGAAAAAATCTTATAGCTTATGGACAACATAGGACTATTTTTTAAGACATTGTTAGCTCTCATCTTCCCATATTCAGCCTTTATACTGAGTTCTTATAATAGCTTCAGTTCAGTTCAGTTCAGTTCAGTCATTCAGTTGTGTCTGACTCTTTGTGATCCCATGAACTACAGCACACCAGGCCTCCCTGTCCATCACCAATTCCCAGAGTCCACCCAAACTCATGTCCATTGAGTCGGTGATGCCATCCAACCATCTCATGCTCTGTCGCCCCTTCCCCTCCTGCCCTCATTCTTTCCCAGCACCAGGGTCTTTTCCAATGAGTCAATTCTTTACATCAGGTGGCCAAAGTATTGGAGTTTCAGGTTCAACATCAGTCCTTCCAATGAACACCCAGGACTGATCTCCTTCAGGATGGACTGGTTGGATCTCCTTGCAGTCCAAGAGACTCTCAAGAGTCTTCTCTAATACCACAGTTCAAAAGCATCAATTCTTCAGCGCTCAGCTTTCTTTACAATCCAACTCTCACATCCATACATGACCACTGGAAAAACCATAGCCTTGACTAGATGGACCTGTATTGACAAAGTAATGTCTCTGCTTTTTAATATGCTGTCTAGGTTGGTCATAACTTTCCTTCCAAGGAGTAAGTGTCTTTTAATTTCATGGCTGCAATCACCATCTGCAGTGATTTTGGAGCCCCAAAAAATAAAGTCTGGCACTGTTTCCACCGTTTCCCCATCTATTTCCCATGAAGTGATGGGACCGGATGCCATGATCTTAGTTTTCTGAATGTTGAGCTTTAAGCCAGCTTTTTCACTGTCCTGTTTCACCTTCAGCAGGAGGCTTTTTAGTTCTTCTTCACTTTCTGGCATAAGGGTGGTGTCATCTGCATATCTGAGGTTATTGTTACTTCTCCCGACAATCTTGATTCCAGCTTGTGCTTCTTTCAGCCCAGCATTTCTCATAATGCACTCTGCATATAAGTCAAATAAGCAGGGTGACAATATACAGCCTTGATGTACTCCTTTTCCTATTTGGAACCGGTCTGTTGTTCCATGTCCAGTTCTATAATAGCTTAGATGTACCTAAAAAGTAGTAAATATAATATTGTGTGAAAAAAGACATTCAAAGATAAATTTGTCTGAAATATAAGCATGCAGTCAAAATACTGATTGATAAGCAATTGGCTAACCATGCCTAAAATAATTTTATGTATTGGTTGAGTCACTTGAAAAAATTGGTATTAATTGCTGTGGTCTATGCAATAATAATTTGTTTTAGTAAACGCTTGAATGTTGTGCTAAATTATTTTTGTTATCTGTTGCCATTTGTGTTGTACACATAAAGTCTGTTTTTTTAAAAAATGGGTTAATTAGAATGAAAGATGTGGAATTTGATTTTAGTGTCCTTTTTCTACTTCCCTTCTATGCCATAGAGAATTATACAGGAAGAAAGGAAACTTATTATTCAGGAACATTGTATGATAAAGATAATAATAAAAAAAAGCCAGAAAAGTCCTGGAAATAATTGCATGTTCTCATATATTCACATAAGAAAGACAAATC